GGGGACCCGCTGTGCCGGGAGCGATTTTTCCCCGGGGTGTGAGTCGTTGCAGGAGCAGCGGGGAGCCCTCTCTGCCCTGGGATTTTGCTGAGGACCTGCGGGAAATTTTTGTCGGAGAAACTACAGTTTGTGAGAGAAGTGTGCAAAAACCAACCAAACAAAAAAACCCCTGCTTCTGTTTTCGTTTGAACGATTATAGCTTTTGCTGTAAGGTCTCATCTGCCAGGGCTGTAAATGCACCTCAATAGCTGGCTTGCAGCAGTGGGAGCCCGCAGTGAGTGAGCTCCGGGGCAGGCACCCTTCGCGGGAGGGCTACAGCGCTGGTGCTCGGAGCTGAGGAAGGACCTCAGGCTGAACGTGAAATGTAATGAATGTATTGCAGCTGGGTTTGAGATGCGAATCCGCACCCTGGTATGTAGGAGGGAAAGTCATGAAAATCTGGTTGCTGAAAGATGTGCAGCTATCGCTGCAGGAACGCTCTTTTTGCCTTCTTTAGGAGAAAGCAGTTACGTATTATTTTGCTCTGTATACTTCAGGCAGGCTTCCCCCTTTCTTTTCAGGGCTGTACCTGTTTCTTCTTTCTGGCAGTTTGTGTTCTCCATGCATTTGAACAATGAAAAGTTACGGTCTTCGTTTAAGTTTGCATTTCAGTTGCTTAACGTTTAAAGATGAGTATTCTCAATCTTTGTGATCCCTCTGAAGTATCACAGAAACTAGACCAGATTCAGCTACTGTTTACTTGTTTGTCTACTTAACGATGGGTCCTGTTGGTCACAGGTGCGGGCAGTAATGGTATAGGGCATCTATTAAGCTGTCATACTGACTTACAGCTGGTGATACTGGAATGCTTTGATGCGATTCCTTTCTGAACCTCTCATGGTTAATGAATAACTTGCCCAATTACTGGTATTTGAGTTTTTCCTCAGTGCTCATTTCTCTTGAATATTGATGCAAATCTTTTGATTTGCAACGTGTTTGGTAAGTGTCATCCTCTTCATTTTAGGATAAGCTTTGATACCTTCAAAAACCTGTAAGGTACCTTTGATACCTTTCAGTTCGGTCACATCTTACTTTGAAAGCAGACCTGTTCCTTTCAACAGAACTCTTTTCTGGAATATATGGAATTACAGGGTGAGCAAAAACCCTGGAAACTGATGCTACATCAGAACCTTTCCCTTCATTACAATTGCATGTGTAATTCATCACTTACACCATGCAGTAAGAGATGTCTTCATATAGCTTATTACCATGATATGTAAATTATAAGTAGTAATCTCTAGGTTATACTTGTCTTCTGTCCTCATTTCCTCTCTAAAACATTCTGTAATTTTCACTATTCTTTATGCTGTGGTTCTAAAATCAACTGAGGGGTGGCTAAAGGAAATGCTTTTGATAGAGCCACCATAATGCCAAATGGCAAATGACTGCACAAGCACTTTTCGTATTTTCACATAGCTCAGCTGCTTCTTTCTTGGAATTTTGGGGAATAATTCTGGCATTGTAAGAGGTCATTTGGAGCATTCATTGACATCTAAAAGTACCAAACATGTAGTATTCTAAATTTACATCCAGGTTGGTGTTTAGTTTTATGAAGCACTGCACTTTGTTTGTAATGGCTGCAAAAATATAATCTCTAGCTAGACCAGAAGAATGGCTTTTATATTCAGATAATCTGAACACCAAAGTAATCTTTTGCTATTGAAATAGTGTTCAGTATTTCTCTCAGTTTTTCCGAAGAGGCAGTTACTCATATTTTGGAACTTCTGTGTTTTCTGTGGTTTTGTAAGCAGCCAGGGCAAGGATTTTTACGGAGTGTTGAGTTCATTGAAATATCTCTTCAAGTATGAACAATTACTGGTGAATTTGGAAGCCCTGGGATTGGAATCCAGGCAGTAGCATGTAAGCTCTACTGCAGAAGCTATTTCTAGGAATGAAAAGGCTGTATGGTTCCCACCTTCCTTGGAAAGGAATGCCATTAACATCAGTGAGTTGAGGCTAGGTCTGAGATCATCTCTGTTGTGAATGCCAGCTGCGACATAGATATTTGTCCACCAGGAACTGGACTGAAGAGAATTAGTTCATTCTGAAAAGGTGTTGATGACTTTGGGTCACTACCAACCTTTGTAGCCTTAGAGATCTGACCTTGAAGATAATGGTTCCATAGTTATTTGCCAATCGTGAGCCATCTGTGCCTCCCAGATGTCTTTTTAGCTTCAACCTACTGATTAATATAACTCAGAGTAATATACTGGCATATTTTGTACCATAAAATGCAAAAGAAAAAGGTGCATATTCCATGTTGTAGTTTTGCTTGGTGATAAATGTCATTTCATAAAAATGGAGGTGTGAAAACTTATGTTGATGATTGCTGAATTTGAATGTATTGCCAATTTGAATGTATTTTACAGCAACAACAGCCATATTTTCTATACTTAAGACTGGCAACCTTTTTTCCCCCACTTGCCATAATTATCAGCTTCAGTCATTCCACCAAAGGCAAAAATGTATACTTGTTATTTAAGTTCTCTTCTGTCATGCAAATGTACACCATTCTAAGTAATACACATTTTTGATGGTTGTGTATTGGTTTGGACACCAATTCAACAGACAATCAGTGAGGATAATGATAACAACTGACTCAGTTCTAGATGTTGTGTTCTTAGCAATTGCTAAGTGTTCACTTAGCAATTAAGACTGGTTTAGGTATTGAAATTAAGCAACTCAAGCTTCTGTGCATTTACAAAGATCTGTGCTGAAGGGCATTTTAGCCCTCAGGATTTACTGCTATTGAAGGAAGGATTAGTTAGGAGAGATTTATTAGAAGAACTACAGCTGCCTGAAATTTAGAAGCAGGAGTTAAAAAAAAAAAAAAACAAACAACCCAAACCAGAAACCAAACACAACTGTTTGCAGTCAAAAACATGCTTGATGCACACTTTACTGGGAAGGTAAATAGATGTTTTTTGCGTACCTTCAGCAAAATAGCTCTCAAGCCACAAGTTACAAACTGTAAGGAGAATAGTGATATTTCTGTTCTGCCCTACAATTTTTCCCAGTTCCTTAACATTAACAAATTCATTTTTAGTTTTCAAAATATTTAGCCTTACACCTTTTGACTGGGCTGAACTGATCCTAATGAGCATAGATGGTTTGCTACTTACTAGGCAAAGAAAATTCTCACGCCATAATTTGACCATTACATTGTTACTACATTGTGCAGTTTTGAATATTTTTCAATTAAACCTTGATTTTAATCAATTCTCACTTCATATTTTTGTTTGTCTAGTTTTTTATTTATTAAGAAATATCTGTGAATACAGAATTGGATGTTTTTAAAGTGAAATTTTTCATGTAAGGTCTCAGAAGTAGAAACGGTCTATTGTTTATTATAACTGTGAGCATGTACTTTGTTTATAGAAAAAATCAAACACTAATTTGAAGAATGATTGAATTAGGGTCTTGCATCTCTGTTTTCTTCATTTTGCACTTATTCCTATGACCTGGAGCGTCTTAAGATGCCTGATTAATGCTAAAACATGTTAAATGTGGCCAGTCTTTCATCTGCTCTGTGTGGACAGTGGCATTTGTCACTTACTGAATGCTTGATGAAAGCAAATTGTTTTGACTGACTTGGTTTTCTTCAGTTAAGGCAATTTTAAAAGAGATTGGTGAGCAAGTCTGATATTTTTACACAGGAGTGATGCCCTTAAAACAATGTTCTTCATCTGTCCTAAAAAGAATTCATTGAGTGGTAGCTCAGAGTGAGCCTGTAATTGCCTATAGGGATGTCTTCGTTTCTTACCTAAAACAGAACAGTATGTATTTTGCTATTTCCTACAAGGAAAACTTTCTCATCTGTTTCAGAAGTTTTAGAAGACCACATCATCATCTTGGTAGGAAGATAGAAGAATTTGCATGTGTTGTAGTATATTTAGCCCAATGACTTGTCAACAGCATATCACTGATGTTTCTAGAGCTAATTGATTAAAAAGACAGTCTTTCAAGGATTGCTTCATCAAACCTCCAGCTCTTCAGTGAGTGTGATGTGATTAAAATATAAATGTCATTCAGAGTAATTGGATATCTTCCCTACAGCATAGTC